TCCCCACTATCACCCCACCACCGCCAATACTATTACCACACCGCTGTCCCAACTATCACCCCACCACTGCCCCCACTACACATTTTAATGTTGCGTTCTAAGTCTGCTAACTGGTGTGACTATGTTCTAACTTGACATTAATATCCCGTGAGCAAGTGAGCGTGAGTGAGTGAGTTTATTTTTACGTCGCTGTTAGCAGCTTTCCAGCAATATGTCAGCGGGAGACATTAGAAACAGGCTTCACACATTATAACCATGTCGGCAATCGAACCTGGGTCGGCGTGACGAGCGTACGCTGTAACTACTCGGCTATCCCACCGCCTCTGCATCATGGATGAAGAGGTGAATTCTATGATCTATATATTATTATCATGCTTTCAGGCAGACATGTTAATCAGTCAAGTTGTAGGTGTAAGCGCTTTATCCAGTTTGTTTTCTTTCTTGAAGCCATCTGTCCAGTTAAAAATCTTATAAGTTAGTCTGTCTGGGTTTAAGCAATTAAGTCTAGTGTACATTCTCATGAGAGAGCCCCAGAGTTTCACTGGTGTAGGTGTCCATCCAATGTCGCCTGTCACTGCAGCGTTGGGGGTAGATTTCCGCACTCCCATATAGAATTTCCATAGCTCTGTTTTGTATAGTCGTTGCTTATGTAGAGTTTAAAGTCCTCCAAATCGCTGCTCCGTAGTCAACTGTCGACCAGACCATGGTCAAAGAGTTTCCTGTTCATGGTGTAGTGCATACCGCCCATGGACGTGAATTTAGAAATCAGCAGACCCAGCGCTCGACCTGCTGAACTAGCTACAACCTTGGCCATCCTTGCGTAGTCTAAGTGTTCTGTTATCAATAGGCCTAAATAACAGTAACTGTCAGTTAGCTCTAGTGACGTAGTACCACACTGAAAAGCACAAGTCGTTCTTGGCATATTTACAGGTCTACAGTGTAGAACTTGTGATTTATCCGAGTTTACAGTCATGAAATTGTTCTCACACCAGTTATGTGAAATGTCTAAAAGTACTTTTAGGTCGGCTTCATCTTCAGCTAACAGGACCAGATCGTCTGCATAAGCTAGCACAGTCAGTGTTTCGTCAATAAACTTCACACCAATATTGAAACTCTTTATGGTAGTTATCAAATCATTGATGTAGACGTTGAATAGCAGAGGGGAGAGAAGGCATCCTTGCTTAAGCCCACACTTGACGTTAAACCATTCAGTCATATTTCCATTTATTCTGACACAACTCTTCACACTCTTGTAAAGGGAGATAATAGCTTCATACATCTTTCCAAAGATTCCAAGATCAGACCGTTTTCTCCACAATATAGACCTATCAATATTATCATAAGCCTATCCAAAATCTATGAATGCTAAAATTGTCGATTTCTTTAAAGATTTCCGAGTTTCCACTATGGATGTGAGTGATGATATATGTTCTACTGTGGACCTGCCCTTCCTGAAACTGTTCTACTCCTCAGCTATACAGTCCCTGGTTTCTGTATACTTGTACAGTCTTGTATTCAGCACCGAACAGTACAGTTTATAGCTTGAATTTGTCAAGGAGATACCTCTGTATGATAAAGGGTCATATTTATCAGCACATGATGACTTCGAGATAGCATTGATGATACTCATAGCCCATTCACTCGGTATTTTCCCACTAGCAAAACACATGTTAAAAAGTTAATGTAAAAACTTTATACTGGTATTATTTTTCAAAACCGCAACAGGTATGTTGTCACATCCTGGTGATATCCCTTTCCTCGCTGATCGCACAGCTTCATACACTTCATCCAACGTGAAGGGGTTATTGAGCCGAGATGTATAGGTGTCTGCGTCGGTTACCTCCCTTGGCTCCTGTGCAGCATTGAAAATCACAGAGTTACGGTTATTTAACAGATTACTGTAACTGTCTTTCCATGTATTCAATACAGTTTCCTGGTCCCCAGACAAAGTACCATCAGACAGTCTCACCTCAGTTGGGATAATGTGAATTCTGTTAAAACCAACTCCAACTTTTCCTGTCTTTTTCCAAAACACATATATATTTTCCTCACAGAGATTTTCCAATACTGATAAACTATCTTTGTTGTAGCGTCGTTTACATCGTTTAGTTTCTTTGTCAAAAACAATCCTTTGCATGATTTAACGTTTTGTAATTTCTGGACGATAAATTTGTATAAACATATACTGTATACTGAGATGTTCTTTCAACAAGCAGTACAATGTCTCGACGTGGAATGCTTATCAAGGACATACCTGAGAATACAAAATGGTATGCAAATAGTAAAAATATCATCCAAATATACTTAAAATTCAAATTAGTAGTTTGTAAAATAACTAATCATAATATGTATGTCTTCATACAGATTACGACTCGTGAAGATCCGGGTTAGAATTCATCTTCAGTAACCCATTGTCACGTAGTTCGCGTGCTCTCTTTCTACCACCCTACCATTGCTCATGTAATTATCCCATTTCCCCGCTAATTTTACAGTTTTGTAGAACAAACTTTGCTCTTTCTGTACATAGAGTGTATTTCGACATGTTAATCTTGGTTTGCTAGATATTAATGTTATCCTGTTACAAAAATCATCAGGTTTGTGATACGCAAGGTACTTTACAGAGGTCAACTGAGTATAAATTGTGCAGTTTTTTCAACGGTCAAAGCGATGGAAGCGTTTGTCAGAACGAAACCGAACCGAGCCGAGCCGGGCCGCCATTTTGTTTCGATTTACTGACACACCTTTCTTATATCTTATATATATAGGTCATGCTTATAACTATATCAGAGTCGGGCGCCTATGCGTACATTAAGCTAAAGAAGTAAAAGTAGCTTTATGTGACTTTGAGATGAATTTAGAGCAGGATATGTGGAAATATATCACACAGGTTATGTTTACCACGCTACATTATCGCAATGGCAAATGTACAAGTGTCAGTATCTTTCATACATCATCTTCGTCATTCTTCGAGGCGGACGACATGCTTATCATGGCGGATACAAGTACCGAGTAAACAGAGGTGAGGTGAGGTGAAATTGGGTTTAACGTCGTGCTTGAGAATATTTCGCTCATATGACGACGTGCATGAGTGTGTATGTGTATGTGCGGCTGCTTGTACTAGCCCGGACTTAAGCTGGTTTTATAGTGCTAGCCCACTGAGATACCACGCCGCAGTGAAGCATGAATACCCCACTCAGACACATTATACTGACTCCGAGCCGACCAGTCCTTGTTGTACCCATTAATGCCGAGCGCCAGGCAGGGACCAACAAGTACCATATTTTAACGTCTTTTGGTATGACGCGGTCGGGGATCGAACCCGCGACCTTCCGCTCTCCGGGCGGACGCTCTAACCAATACACCACGGAGGCAGTCCCGAGTAAACAGAAATAAAACAGAGACAGTATATTGGCGCTGTATTAAGTCTTGCATTCTTGTTGTAGTCTTGTTTGTGAGGGCTGAGACAGTGGGACAGAGTGGGCCATGTGTTAATGATGTGTATATAGTATTAAATATGTATTAAAAGGTCACTTGCATTTTGTCATTCTTTGAACACCCCTCTGACCACTACATGTGGACTCTCCTATTCCCACTTTGCCTACTCCTTAGTAATCATCCGGGCGTTACATACCCACATTGCCTAAAGGATTTTCCGTATCTAATGGGCTAAAGTTAGGCGAAGTGGGAGTACACCACTGCGACGCTGAAGACAGTTGGGTGGGTCAGGATTCTGTACTTCATGTAGTCATCTTGTGTATTCGCGTTCCTCGCATTCATTGGAAACGAATTCGGATGACTGACAGACCGTATCGTATTTCGAATACCAAGACGCTACCTTTTGTATGGCTTGTATTTCAGTCAATTCGCCTTCCTCGCCCTACGATGACGACGGTATATTGTTTGTTGACAAGAGATACGTTTACGACTTGACACATGCCGATAGCTTTCGGAAGATTCACAATAGCAGCTAGGCCTGTGCTAACTATACAACATAACATATATTTGATCTATCATGATGTTTAATATTTGAATGAGTCAAGAAGTGAGTAAATATGGTTTTATGCCGCTTGAAGCAATATTCCAACAATATCACGGCGGTGGACACCACAAATGGGCTTCACAAATTGTACCCATGTGGAGAATTGAACCGAAAACCTTCAAAACAGATTGCGACCCAATTCGCTGTGCACAGTTGTTTGTTTGGGGTTTTTTGGTTGGGGCATGATCTGGATGTTCGTGTACTAGAACGCCATGATCGCAAAGCGCTCTCTCTTAGTTCGGTCAGCGTCATAACCGTCTTTCCCGAAAGTCGTAAACGCCTTCATCTGGTGATTCCTTCTGCTCAAAAGCCCTTAAAAAACTTCGGCGTAAAACCGATTTTAATATTATACTCGAATAAAATCAACTCGACGCTGAAAAAGGTAAGTTTTATTCAACCATTAACCCAAACATCAGAACTGAACATACAAAATACAGTCGCACCATTCAAAGATAGACCCAAATGTATATATACAACATAGTTAGTTCTAACTAAAAACATACGCAATCCTGCCATGACAAAATTCAGTCGTTAAGCAAGGGCACTAATGGGAACGATTGTTGAAAATTCGTCAGAACACAAATATTATTGTGTTTACATTTTTTTATTTGTCTGCCTGTTATAATATTGTATGAATCAGTATTTGTACCGATATTTCACAAAGAATACATTGCTGCAGGCTTGTTTTGTCATTTAAAAAAGTTATCCTCTTATTCTACCCCTCCATTCAGTACAGTCTTGTAACATCAAACATTTATACATTCAGTACAGCCTTCACATTATTACATCATTCAACACATATACACTCAGTACAGCCTTCACATTATTACATCATTCAACACATATACACTCAGTACAGCCTTCACATTATTACATCATTCAACACATATACACTCAGTACAGCCTTCACATTATTACATCATTCAACACATATACACTCAGTACAGCCTTCACATTATTACATCATTCAACACATATACACTCAGTACAGCCTTCACATTATTACATCATTCAACACATATACACTCAGTACAGCCTTCACATTATTACATCATTCAACACATATCCATCGAGAGCAAATAACTTAAAAGGATAACTATGTTTCCGAACGCACAAAAAGCTAAATTTCGATCACTAGACATCCTGGCTGTTGACAGCAAGCAAAGGCCACCAGACAAGCAAAGCTTCCCGGGTCTATAATGACAGCAGCAACAACAACAATAGCAGTAGTAGTAAATATTCCATTCTAAATCTGCTGATATAAAACCCGAAACATCCAGTCTGAAAACATACCGATTTCAAATTAACACACTGCGTCACACCCACAACACGACATCAAATCCCGCAGTAAGACACATGTAGGTTTTGGAGGGCATTATTTTCGCCTTGTTTGCCTGTCACCAACATTCAGCAGTATCTGCCTATCACAATAGGATGTATGTAGACGGGACTACAAGTCCCGCAGCCTTACCCTTTTTTCATCATCCATGAGGTGAGGTTTTAGAGGTCCATCATGTCAAACGATAAAAAAATATAATATGTAATTTGGAGATGCTAACAATCATTGAATCTTACTTTAATCTAAAAATTCCCCATGCAAATGCCATCATATTCCAAACAAAGAAATGTACCACAGACTTTAGCACCTTCAGCACATAACTGCATGAATGTTAACATGTCATCCCATTGTAAAATCCAGGAGTACAAATTAAAGGTAAATCAAACCCCGAAATGTCAAATAAAAATACATGTTGTAAAAAAGGGATAAAGATAGGCAAGATGCGTATTTAAATAATGCATTATGGGATGTTTGTTTTTCTAACGGCGCACTCAGCAATATAACAATCATATGAGGTCGATCTGCAAATAATCGAACCTGTACCAGTCATTATACTGATTGACACCACCAGCATCGATATACGCCATTGAGATACTGAGATATGCAGCCTGGAGCGCCTGGCCACCCAATCCCGTTTGTCGCCTCACACGACAAGCCTGGGTTGGAGAAGATCAATTATAAAAAGGATCTTCAAAGTGAAGATGTGTGATGTGATACTTCAGTATATTCCCACAAATTATAATTTGCTGAATAAGACCATCTCTACCTTTTCATTTTTCACTTTTTTCACAGCGTTTAAAAGAGCGGAAAAGCAAAAATGATTAAATAAAAACAAAAACAATAAAATTGTTATTTCACTAATTGTACAACATAATTTGTAAATAGTAAAATCTGGATGGCTTGTTAATAGACTTTAAATAAACCATCATGTAGATCAAGTCGATTTGCGAAACATGTTTAAAAATACAAGTAGAGGCTGAAGGATCAAGCTGTTCTCTTCCTTCATAACTCTGCCAGGGTGTGAGTATTTTTGTATCTCATCCGTGCATCATTCCAGACGACATGAAAAATTGAGATAGGAAAACCTTATTTCACGTCGGAACGAAATTCAGGGCTGAAGGGAGATCGTAAACACATAAACATATGGACGGCCAAAGCCATTTTCGAGATTCACATTATGTTCAAATGATCCTACAACGATGTATCGTATCGTAATCACATGTTTCAATCAATAATGAAATGTATTTATAAAACAAAATTATTCGGACTATGAGAAATAAGCACATTTTGGGTAGAAAATGTGATTTCCTAAACTCAGTACAGTATGGTTCTATCGTTATGCATTCATAATGTTGAAACATATGTTTCAATGAAGATTGAAATGCATTCAAATACCAAAGTATCAGAATATGATATATTTGAGCACAATTGTAGAAGACGGTTGTCTGGTTCTTTCGTTACGTTATGTAGTCAATATGTTTAAATCTAACATGGTGATCATAAAAAAAGAAACTGTACAGATACCAAAATATCAGAAAATGATATATTTGAGCACATTTGTTGAAAATGGTTGTATGATTCTTTCGTTACGTTATGTAGTCAGTATGTTTAAATCTAACATGGTGATCATAAAAAAAGAAACTGTACAGATACCAAAATATCAGAAAATGATATATTTGAGCACATTTGTTGAAAATGGTTGTATGATTCTTTCGTTACGTTATGTAGTCAGTATGTTTAAATCTAACATGGTGATCATAAAAAAAGAAACTGTACAGATACCAAAATATCAGAAAATGATATATTTGAGCACATTTGTTGAAAATGGTTGTATGATTCTTTCGTTACGTTATGTAGTCAGTATGTTTAAATCTAACATGGTGATCATCAACCCAAATGATGCAGAATGTGACATCTGTACTGATCTTTTAAATGAATAGTATCTATGGTCCCTGCAATGAGGGAATGTGTGATTCTTTAAAAGCGAAGATGGTAAATTTGTACTTAGTAAAGCATGGACATAAACATGGTCTCCGTTGTAAACCCCGTTTACAGGAATGTTATGGATTATTACATTTGTCTGGAGACTAAGAACAACGTTTTCATAACAACTTGCATCGAATTTGCATAATAATCCCGCTTTTCATCCAGAATCAATACTTTGCCAAATAAGCAACTTTTTGGATGGAGGAGAAAATATGCATTAGGATGAACCTCATTTGTCAATGCAATACTAATAAATGAAATAACAAGCAATTATAGCCAATGCCAGACATATATTTTTTTCACCTTTTTAGAGACCTGAAATGACCCTCTTTTACCAAATTGCATTAGATGTTAGCTTGGTCACCAGATCTTTACCCAAATGTCTGTGTGTCACTGCGCACCATGTAAATCTCATGGCAACCTGTTCGCTCCATGCCAAACATTGACTTGTATTTGGCATCCATGTTTTTATTTGTATGGAATATCCTAAATCCAGCATTATAGAAGTCTCTCAGCAGCTCCAGACCTCTCAGGTACTTGTCTATGTCCGGCTCTGGGTGAGATTTCAGCTTGACGTGAATCTCAAAACAAAACTGTTTCACATTTTTCAGAGCCCCGCTTTTCAGCATCTCTGGAAATGCCCACCATTCGGAATAGTCAATGTCAATCTTCAGTAGGTCGATCACGGCCTGAAAGATAACAGATGTTTCTAAATAATAAACAAAATAAGTTCCAAAACATTTCAATGCAGAGTAGGTGTCTCCCAGCATTATACTAGAGCCCTACAACACTTTATTTCCAATATTTCTACTGACAATTGTTTACATTCTTATCGTATAATGAAGTCCCTGTTTCAAAAAGAGTCATTAGTAAACTGTGATCTGTTTTAACTCCCTTGGTTTTTTTGTCTAAATCCCGTGCTTCCGGACACCTTAAAGTTTGGACAATGGATACATAGAGAATCTCACCCAAGTGTCTTCTGATATCAGTTATATCAACACGAGTTGATAAAGTTACAAATACCCGAGGCTTGCCGAGGATATTTTTACTTTATCAACGAGTGTTGATATATTTGATATCAGAAGACACGAGGGTGAGATTCCATTTATCATTCAAAATCACTCTTCATTAATTTTCACATGGGCACAATGTGTTAAGCCCATTTCTGGTGTCCCCCGCCGTTATATTGCTGGAATATTGCTAAAAGCGGCGAAAACTAAACTCAGTCAGTCAGTCATTAATTTTCAATGAAAAATGTTCATCTCTGAACATGGTACTGCCATTAGACTTGCAGTGCAGCGATGTCATAGCATTGTGACGTCATTAAGTACATGACGTCATCACATTGTCAGGGCATTGTACAAAATCTACTGTCAAAACGATATCTCCTAGGAGATATCGTTTGATCTCACACAAGCGATATCTCCTGTGGAACACAGTTTTGGATGATAAAAATGAATACTTCTTGCATCATTTCAGCAGCTCAAAATTCAGTACGGGCACACTACTGTCCAGACAAACGGGGTTTATTTAACTGTTTCTGACAAATTGAACTGCAGCGTTTCTACCTGCGAGTGGCCATTTTCCTTCAGGATGGAGCTGAATGTGCGCATGCGCCAGCCCATTGTATTCGTTTCATCAGATACGTTGAGGCCTGTACGGTGGAAGTGAAGGTTTGGTCTTCTATCGTGATCTTTCACTTTTGTCATGCTGTAACAAAACAAATGAGTGAATGAGTTTAACAATTTTAACACTGCCATTTTAAGTAACTGTTATATTACTGCATGCCAGGATGAATCCTCACTATCAGGCAAGGTGGTAAGGTGAGTTGTCAAGATGATGTTGATTATCAGTACTACACTAACATATAATACAGACGCGTGACCTGTTGTGGTGTGCGTCTGTTTGGGGTTGAGGGAGGGTACCAGTACGGACTAATATCGATATATAGCGTTCTGAGACACCAAGAATGAATACCCTACCAAAACACTGACCCTGAAACCATAGGTGCCCGACTCTGATATAGTTATAAGCATGACCTATATATATAAGATATAAGAAAGGTGTGTCAGTAAATCGAAACAAAATGGCGGCCCGGCTCGGCTCGGTTCGGTTTTGTTCTGACAAACGCTTCCATCGCTTTGACCGTTGAAAAAACTGCACAATTTATACTCAGTTGACCTCTGTAAAGTACCTTGCGTATCACAAACCTGATGATTTTATTCCCATTTAAAGCTTTCAATAATTTTGCCGTTCATTCTCGGACGAAGTCAGGACATATGCCCGGAAGTAAACAAACCTCAGGCTACAGACCCGCACCGATTAGTACAGCGAGTCTCTGATTGGATAGCGTCTTCTATTATTCCCACCTCTTTTAACGTGCAACTATATTATCCAATTAGAGACTCGCTCTACTATTCGGTGCGGGTCTGTAGCCTGAGGTTTGTTTACATAGTGTGTATGTTACAGAATTGTAGGGAATAGTCTTAAGACTTTTCTACTTTGACCTGGATTCTTCGAACATGCAACATTCGTTGGAGAAAGTCAATAGAGAAAGGGGTAGTGCGCGATGTATCTGGCGGACGTATATGGAGAAAATTCGAAGAATGTTACTGTATAAATACAATAATAGAAAAATACCGGTTATGTTTAAATAGTACCCTCAGTCTGATAGCCAGAGAGATTATTGTGAAAGATCGCAATATGTATCATCATAAACGGGCCCAGATAAAAGTACATGTGATTCATCCCCACATTATTTCCCTTTTATACAGGACATCGTTGTTACATGTAGGGCAAACACTTTCTTCTATAAGTATCTGCCGGTTTCACGTTACATGCATTCAGATTACTGAGAAAAGTAGCGACGCACGTTTTCCTCCATCACACATATAATTGTATACATACCCAGTGATTAGTGATAGCGCTGCAAGCAACTTATCAAAATGTACGACATACACTATCATCTGTAGTAGTAGTGCTATACCTAGCATTGTATTTATTACTCTCTTACATAAGTTGAAGCTTAAGTATCACAGGGTTGTCATGGTAACGATGATTTGGCATACTCTTTATTGTCTTATTCATCAATCTGCGATTAAAATTTTAATCAGTTTTGACGTGAGCATGCTTAGAGAAAAGACCCTTTTGAAACGTAAAGTATTGTGATCGAACCTGTAGGCCTTTGTAAAGCGAATTTCAAGCCACCTACATAAAAAAAACTGTTTTCATGATAAATGTCTGTTAATCCGTGGCACGATTCCGACCATATCATGAACATGTGTTTGTGAATCATAATCAAATAGTGATGTTACAAGGCAGCCATGCTGCGTCAACAACACACGCAAACGCACGAGAATTGCAATACGTGCCCCTAAACCACCGATTCTCCGTGACCTGGAGACACATGTGATTGAGCGTATGTAGGGACGGGTAGAAGACAAAAGACAAAATGAATACTCGTGCTGTTATACTTTTGAATTATAAGTAAACATTCGTTCTTGTCTCGGGATAAATGTATATTTTCCAGTTTCAACCAAATGTACATTCGAAGGATATCGAAAACTAGGTTACGCTATTTGAACCATATTTACAATTAAAAGACCCCAAAAAACAATGGTCTGTTGTCCAATTTTTTTTTTGTTTTCCGTATCTTATCCCAGTCTGTATCATAGTCGCATAACGATATTATTTCCCCTTCCGTCCAGCCCTTACTGTAATGCCTACGCCCTAAATGAAGCATGTCTAGCTTGAAAAAAGGCTCCTTTAGAATTTTATTTGGTAAATATTAGCATTTCACTGACTCAATCATATTGGAAACAATTAGCAACCTAAACTTCATTATGACGATGATTAAGGCATCATTGTAAAACACAAGGGTCATTTCCTTGTTAACTTAGAAGCTTTCGGTGTCCAATATTTGGAACTCCAGCCAAAGGTGATGTTATGCTGTTTGGAAATATGTTCTTTTTGTAATGCTTTGGTTGCACTTAATGATAAGTGATTGTTAGATGTTTTTGAAGGATATTCTCAGCTGACTCAGAGACTTTGCGCGTGCCCCCAACCCCCCATCTTTCAGTTTTATGTTAGTGACATGATCTGCACACTGATGATTTAAAACAGGTATATAAAAAATAATTGTTTGCAATCTTGACCCAATTTAGTTTTCCTGTTATCTAGCAATTTTCAGTTTCTATTTCCTGGAAATTCTGTACGAAGATTCATTTAACAGTTTCACCCAATAACAATAAAGCCTACAGATAATACGTTTCGGTACTTTGATAGATTAATAAGTGCACATTATATTCCATGATATTTGGGATGCCAAAATGATTAACAATGATTGCTAAGGGCACTAGACGACGTATGTATTTATGACACAAAGCATTAAGAAATACAGCTGGCAGGCTAATTTGAATGTCAACGAGGATATCAATTTTCTCAATCAAATTGTGATTGTCAAAGACTCACGAGGTAAAAGCATCCATCAATATACCTATTATATAACGCCTTATGTGTGTGTAACGTAGACTACGTCTCTATGAAGCTATATAGAAAAGCCAACATCTGGCACTGTGACCAAAAATCTTTATATTGCATCTGTGTCGAGAATGATCAGTTTTAGCGTGTGACGGCTAGCTTATTGTCAAGAACTGCGCAACTCAATATGTGGTAAGGACATGCTAACATTATCATTAAACTACCACCTGCCAAGATTGAACAAAGGAAAGGCAGTATTGTGACAAAGTAGGACAACTTATCGGCGACAGAATATTGACACATCTGAAACGGTTAATAAGCAGCTCATTATTCTGACACCACATGTTGTGAGTGAGTGAGTTAATATCTACCTTCACATCGGCAATATTTCAGCCATATCGGGTCGAGAACAATTAATAATTATATTATTGATCAATAAAATTAGAAATTGAAAGCCTGTTGACGAAGAACAGTAAAACTACTAGTGTATCACAATGAATGCTCCCAGTGCCTACAGTGAAACATTCGCAGTCAATGAAAATAATTATTGTTATTTCAACAGAAGCTATGCATGTACTGTTTTAGTCCGTATTTCACTCTGAGACATAAAACATTTCCAATATATTTCGAGATGCAGAAATCATCAGGGCAATGTACTGTTTCACGTGTGGCACATATGAGATAAAGTGGCATCTATACGTTTGGAATGATTTGAGAAACACTAGCCAAATCAGTGGGTTGCTTGTCATTACATACTCATGCCAAAATGGTTTTCACCCCCTCCCCAACCCCCACACACCCCACCCCTCTCCAATTAAAAAATTGAAAGGGTGACAACCATTATTGGCATGAGTATATTTCCTTAATCTCTGCAGGCGCTCGGGCTCTTTAAGTACAATATAGACAAACTTTATGGATAACAACTTCTGTATTTGGTGAGTACGACGTGTCGATACAGATTCGTGTAAGGTAACATGAAGTGGAGGTGAAGTATATATACTGGGTGTAACAAAGAAAACAACATTATTAACACAAATGGCTTGACAGTAAACTGATAAAGCCAGCGAGTTGACAAAGGGAAAGGCTTAGAAGCCTAATGTACAAATGAAAGGGGTATTTTAGAAAGGAGATGTTTATTCAGTTGATTCCGCTTAGTGGAGGAGTGCACCATAAGCGGGTGGAATGAAATGCCGCTGATAGTGGGCTTTTGGCGTTTTATGTGAATGGCTTCGGTGAGTTTGCGTTTGAGTCCGTTTGATTGTTGGCAAGACTGGTGATGTCAGCCCAGTTTATGTTAGCTAGGATACATAGCGTTCACTGTTCAAGTCAGTGAAGGCTATGTATCTTAGCTAAGTTTATGTATGCAGTATTCGATGAGTGCATTAGTAGTTGAAAATGTGTCCATGCTTTGTTGCATCTGTTCACCAGTGTGAGCATTTAACGCACAATCGGGTTTTTTTCAACTGCTTGCGACAACTTCGGCCCCACAATAAGTACAAAGAAGACCGAAGTCATGTACCCGTCTCCTCCAGGTGTTCCATATACTGAAGCAAATATCGAGGTCAAGGTCACAAAAACTACCTGCAGTCGACAGCTTCACATATCTTGGCAGTTCCCTATCACGTTGTGTGGATATAGACGATGAAGTCAACAAACGCATAGCAAAGGCCAGTGCTGCATTTGGGAGGCTGCGTCCTACTGTATGGGATAGAAGAGGTATCTCGGCCACAACTAAACTCACAGTGTACAAAGCGGTGGTCCTCGCCACTCTGCTCTACGATAGTGAAACCTGAACTGTCTACAGTAGACATGCAAGGAACTTGAACCATTTTCACACCAAACGCCCCAGAAAGATTCTCAATATCCGATGGCAAGGGAAGATCCCTGATACAGAAGTACTAGAGAGAGCCATTCTCCGCTCTATCCACACTCTGGCTGGCCATGTGTATCGGATGTCTGACACCAGAATTACGAAGCAACTCCTCTATGGGGAATTAGCATCTGGCAAGAGAACAGTTGGAGGTCAGAGACTACGGTTTCAAGACAGCTTGAAGGCATCGCGAAAGTCCCTCAACACAGACTGGTAGAACTGGGAAATAATTGCCCTCGACCGACCTCTCTGGCGTAGAACACTGAAGACTGGATGTACCATCTCAGAATAGTCACGTACCCAATCTGCACAAGAAAAGCGTGGTGCACGAAAATCTAGAACTGCAAGCACTTCAACTACAGTGACGGACTACAGATGTCCAGCCTGTGGACGCTACCTCTGTGCCCGGATCGGATTGACCAGTCACCTCCGGACACACAAACTCCAATCAACTGCGAGAAGCCGTGGTCCTTGTAGACGACAGACGAACATTGATTGATTGATTGATTGATTGGTTGGTTGGTTGGTTGGTTGGTTGGTTGATTGGGTGGGTGGGTGGAGTGAGTGAGAGGTTTTACGCCACACTCAGCAATATTCCAACAAATCAGACAGCAAAAATCAAAACGCATGAGCAACATTAATGTTGTCAGGAAGTAAGCTTTCAATTATTATCGAAGCTGCTTACTTATCTAAGTTTATGAACTTATTTGCAATCACTAGAATTTTCTGTAATCTACCCAAGAGATGGAATCATACTAGGTGTACTGTTAATGTACAGTAACTGAAATTGGAGAAAACGTCCGTATGGGATAATATCTGTATTCCAAATCAAAAAGAGGCCATACCAAGTATGCGCCTGTTTGCACATTTACAACAGTAATTTACACAGGGAATCATTAATACATTGTAATAATCTTTTTTGAAAGTATAGATAATGAAATTTATGCAGCTATGATCAATCGGGTAACTCATACAAGTGTGCACTAAAATTAAGGACCTACCGGTTCATGTCTGTGTGAACACACCTATCTTTTTTTATTGCAATAAGCAGTGTCTCCTTGTATGTCATATATAATAAGTGTACCTTAGGCCAGTTATTTAAGTTGTAATGTAATTTCCATTACAAACGTATAAACGATAGTACCTACTGATCAGAAGGGCTTATCAGTACCCCACCGCCACCACCCCACCCTAGGCCTACCCCATCCCCATCCCACACCCTCTCCGCACACACACACACTCCCTTACATATCGCGCTGGCCCACAGACCCGTTTTTTAACCTTTTAAACAGACATCATGTGGCAAGAAAGGCACGCACGTTAATAAATGCAGAGTTGAGTGTTCGTTTATTTTAACACCCCTTTAAACGTGTGTAAATCTGACAGCCAGATGATACGTAGATTTCAAACGTTCTTCATATGACCGCCGGATGAAAAGTATATTTCCTAACGTTAGTAAATTTGGGTAATACAGTCATTTTACCGATTCCCGGTAACAGTATAATTTGAGTATGACCAGACACCAACAGCTCCAGGCAAGGCCCAAGCATAGATAGAAAAGCTTGAGATTCCTTGGTCCAAGGGCCGCAGACCCGGCTGGGTCCAGGGGGAAATTGGTGGTGCCATCGCATAATTGAAAAATTAATTCTCAGAAAGGTCACTGAAAACAGTGTTTTCAGACTTGGCTGTGTGATTTGAAGTAGTTAAAATGTGAACCCAGTTTGGCGTGAGATTTATGAATATTGTAATGGGAGCTTGTCATTAGTAATACATTAGTAATACAATAGTAGTACATTAGTGTCAAAACAAAGGAGTTGGCAGGTATGCCAAATGTTCTATGAATACAAATGTTAAACCCAAAGCAGTTATATAACACCACCGTGCATTGAATAGTTGCCTTTCGCGGAACGTTAATGCACAGGGGAAAGTACTATATTTCATGTGTGCCTCGGGGAACTCATAAAAATATTAAGGCATGCTCTTTTAAGAAAAACTATACATGTTACCCGTGAAGACCGGGGTTAGAATTGGTCTCCAGTAACCCATGCTTGTCGTAAGAGGCGAATAACGGAATCGGATTGACACATGTCATCGTATACCAATTGCGTAGATCATGTTGTTGATGACTGGATTGTCTGATCCAGACTCGATTATTTACAGACCGCCGCCATACACAAGGAATATTGCTGAGTGCGTCGATGTAGCTGAGTGCGTCGTTACACAGCAGACAAACCAAAACCAAACCTTTAAGTCCTCCTGACTTGTGTTTTAAACTTAAACCAGCGTTTTTCTTCAAGACAGGCTTTATCCAACTCTTGCTCAAAAGTTGTTTGATCAAGGTTACAACATTCAAGGCCTGAATAAAGTTTCAAGAAGTTTTATGATACTATTAGACATAAGGAGGACATTTCGAAATTTGATGCAGCAGTGACAAAAATGATGTCCGATGCAATTCGCTATTTTGACTTATACCATGCGTTCCCGAATTATTTCAGGTGAACAACTGACTAGACTTAGCTTATGTTTATGACGGGTGCCACCGGTGGGGCAGATACGCTCACCTTTTCGCGAACACGTGGTATCATCACTTCATAGTGATTCATATTAAACACATGATCTGCCATCGTTTCGCATGGTGACAATCACTGGATTGTCTGGTCCAGACGCAATTTGGTTACAAACAGCATCCTACAGCTGTAATGCTACTGAAACAAATATATGCTCATTGTATAGTCACAATTGAACAATCGACTCTGCTTTGAGCAGAGATTTCTTATGAATGTGGAAAGGGTTTTGTCGCTTCTATTTGCATCGTTAACGCGTAGGATCATAAAAGGAGTAAATAACAAAACAATTATAGATATATAAAATCAGCGTTATGAAGTATGAACGTGGAAGAAACTGACAAAGTTAAACAAATATTTTATGCCGGTATATGTTATTGAAAAATTAATATATCACAGACAAGTGATCATGACCACTATCTTAAAACTGCCAAGAGTCACATTGATAACGAGCATCGTAGATAACCCGGGACCAGTATCTCTAAAGCTAACAGAACCAAGGTGCAGTACGTTTATCCGTATTGTGTGTTTAAATCTTAAGGTCAAACCACGCGCGTACCACATATACCTTCGTGGCATACTCGCAACTGGTCATCCATTATACACATTTATCATCGATACTTCGGTCAAACTAATCCCAAGTTCACAATAACGTTATCGAAGTGTTATGATCTATGACAGCTGGAATAGGTATGAAATAGGGACGACACACAGTCCAAAATCATCCTGTGAATGTGTAATAAACTCCTCGTTTATTTACTCAGGTGAGAAACTTCATTTTCTTCTACTTGTTAAAATATTTGTGCTATTATGTCTTAGTTTAATCTATCGTACCTTAACTATATGTTGCAATCCTTTGCACTTCCTTCAGGTTTGTGTGCAACGTGGCCTCCTTCATATATTTTTCATGTATTCTGTATTACTGTTTAGGATTGTTTATTACTGATTAATACTACGATGTTTTGTGATTTATATTTCTTATTATTATATAGATATTTATATAGCGCTATAGTCCATCCCACATGCATTCTCAAAGCGCTTCTTTGTTTTTCTCTCGATCAATTGGATGTGAATTCAGCGGCACATAATACCAATCTCAACTCCCTGGGGATCATACAACTCTTGCTGCCACTAGGCGCACCGAGTTAATGCAACTTTCTCATCCTTTCGAGGTACCCATTCACAGCTGGGTGGATTGGGACACATAGTCACAGTACTTTGTCCAAGTTTACTGCACGTTGCTGTACCCGCAACTGGGTGTTTGCACGTATTCATGTGGCCACCATTTGCCAACGGATTCGTGGGTTCTTTTAAGTGCACAGGGTTGTGTGCTGTACACTAGGGGTTGTTACAACACTGAAAGAGTCTGCACACAAAGCTGACTCCAAGGTTTTTACGCCAGGTCACAGGTGGGCTCGATCCGGGCACCTCCAAGCTCGCTGGATTACTAGCCTGGCGTCTTAGACAGACTGCATGAACGCCCACTGGGATGATGTGTGGAGTTAGACAGCCCCCACGCCCCCTAATAGACTGCATGAACGCCCACTGGGATGATGTGTGGAGTTAGACAGCTCGCCCACCACGCCCCCTAATAGACTGCATGAACGCCCACTGGGATGATGTGTGGAGTTAGACAGCTCGCCCACCACGCCCCCTAATAGACTGCATGAACGCCCACTGGGATGATGTGTGGAGTGTATCGGTAACCCTGACTATTGCATTACATTGTGAACACTATGCTGTTTTTGGACTGTTATAGAATGTAGATTGCATGAGTTAGTGAGTGAGTATGGTTTTACGCCGCTTTTAGCAATATCACCGCGGGGGACAACAGATATGGGCTTCACACATTGTACCCATGTGGGGAATCGAACCCGGGTCTTCGGCGTGACGAGCGAACGCTTTAACCACTAGGCTACACCCACCGCCCCGTAGATTGAGCCCACTGGGGTGATGTGTAAACTATTGCATTATGTGAGTACATTAGAATGCGTATCGTCATTAATGTAGTTTGTCTCGTGCCTAACGAACCACATGAAATGTTTATGTACTTTGATAGCTGATTGGATTGTTAACATGCTCTAATAATTAATTGTAAATCATTTTATTATTGACTGATTATATACAAATTCATTCAGTGGCTGTGTAATAAACTCATCGGTTATATACTCAGGTCGTGTATTGTGTTTGGGTTGGTATAGTAGAACCTCTTGCCAAGCGAGCTGATTCCCCAAAGACTCCCGTTTTATTAGAAGAGAGTAGGAGATGGCGAAAGTGAAAATAACATGGTTCAGTGACTGTCAAACCGGTCTCTCTCAGTTAGTGTTGTTTAAGGGACATCAATCAATAGCCAGACATGAAGATATTTGAATCAATACAGCATTGCTCGCCAGGGCGCACAAAGACTTAGCTATGACAGGCACTGAAACCTGAAGCATAGTGTATTCATTCGCTGATACGACCAGTGGCTGTTGGAGACCTACTTTCTGTCACAGATCCCCAGCTACATCCACTATTGGAGAGAGAGAGAGAGAGAGAGAGAGAGAGAGAGAGAGAGAGGGGGGGAAGAGCCATTCCTAATTATTATTTTGTTCAGAAATATGCCCCAGATGGAGAGTTTTGCTTACTATATAAATACTTGTAGATCGATTGATGGTGCTCAGTCAACACAAATTGTTGGTGGAAGAAATTAGTCTGTCTCGCAGTCCCTGGACCACATTATTTCCCCCACAGCCTAGTCCTACCTGCAGTGCTAAAGCCCTAAATGAAGCAAGTCTAGATTCCCCGAGCTTCTGAATCGTTAGTCTCCTCGGATTCCCTTTTTTAATTTAAATGGGTTTGTTTGTTACTATCAAAATCATATATATTCAGAGACTAAGCGATAGTCTAGAAAGAAATGTACACCCACCTTCCCACCCATGCAAATAAAATGAATGTGCTCTAAGGGTGTTGCAAAGAAATGTACAAAGAGAATTTAATTCAATACAACCGTCACACACAAAAAGGTATAATATTTGCAATTTGAGATCACCCGTTGAACACTGCTTTTTCTCTTTTCCTCCAGGGAAAGTATAGAGCACGCATATGAACGTTCTGTTCCTCAACAGGGGCGGTGGGGTAGCCTAGTGGTTAAAGCGTTGGCTCGTCACGCCGAAGACCCGGGTTCGATTCCCCACATGGGCACAATGTGTGAAGCCCATTTCTGGTGTCCCCCGCCGTGATATTGCTGGAATATTGCTAAAAGCGGCGTGAAACTAAACTCAGTCAGTCAGTCTGTTCCTCAACAATACATTTGCCTTTCATCGAACATTGTTGAAAAGTACCCACCCAGTGATCACGACGCGACAATGTCCCTTCTAGGATTCCATACTAAGCAGATGACTATCGGAACCGTTTCTATTCAGTTCAACAAAAGAGCAGACAATGATCAGTGTATCAATGCTAATGATGCCCATACTTCTCTTCTTTTATAATCCTGGGCCCAATAGGCAACTAGCCTGTCAGGCAGGTCGACCCATAATAAAACGAATATTGACATAAGCAAAGATGTCTCCATGGAGATCACATGCTGCAACTGTATTTTATTTGTCTAATATATTTCGTATTGATTCAGATCAGTCCACCGCTGGTATTATTAGGTATTGTGTGGAGGGACCCGTTATTGATCAGGCAGATGACAATGGTACTATATGTTTATATATATGTAATATATAATATATTATTATTCCTGAACAATATCAATATTACGGTTAACTAGTAAAGCTATTACAGGAAATATTGTTATGAAAAGAGTCAGAGAAGCATAACGCCTGTGAGTTCTTGGAGTCAGTATGCTGATGGTAACGATATCCTCGTGTAACTAAACATTTACAACACATTGATAATTCTGGTAAACTGTATAAGCATTACATGTAATACTGTTGTGAATAGAGTTAGAGAAGCATAATTGACAGTCTGCCTCGCAGTCCCTGAACCACATTATTTCCCTACAACATAGCCCTCCTAGACTAACAACTAGTCTCTGAAATGAACATATTTTACTGAAAAAAAGTTCATAGTAAAAAAATATATATAATGAAAAGGAGCCCTGAGACTTTCTTCATTTTCCTGAAGCTGAGGAAATCTAGACTTGCCACATTTTCTAGACTTGTGTGGGCTTTCTTGGATATATTTGCTTCAGGGTCTGTACGAGAGACTATAGCCCTCCCTGCAGTGATAAAGCTCTAAATGAAGCAAATCTAGATTTCCTCAGGTTCTGGCTATGGTTTCCCTAGGGTTCCTTTTCAATTTGAAAGGGTTTATTTGTTACAATCAAAATTATATTTTCAGGGACTAAGCGTTAATCTACATTATCGAATACTATGCCAGTATTGCATAACAAACGCATGCAGGTAAAATATTCTTATTTACTCAGTTGCTAGTGATTAGGTTGGTGATCGTAACTCTAAGGTTGTCTTGTACAATTGACTGACTGAATAAGGTTTTACGCCGCTTTAAGCAATATTCCAGCAACATCACGGCGGGGGACACCAGAAATGGGCTTCACAAATTGTACCCATGTGGGGATTCGAACCCTGGTCTTCGGCGTGACGAGCCAACGCTTTAACCACTAGGCTACCCCACCGCCCCTGTTTTGTACAGGGGCACCCTGGTCTTAATATATAAGATCAATACTTATGGTTGCCAGAGCAACAACTGTTAGCAAGCCATGAGCATAATCGCCTTAATGAACCCCAAAGGAGAACAAGTCCCAACGCATCTACAAGTGGGAGTATTTGCTTTAACATCGGAAACAGGTTCTGTAAGGTGTCAGTCCTTTATCCCAAGGCATCCGGAACATGTTAAGATTCAATTTAGGTCTCTTGTGTAATGCCTGCATATACATATGGCAGATGTTTCACATTTATTTCGAAATTGCTGATATTTTCATTTGTTTTTAAGATTTCCTAAATTAAATCAGAGAAAATTGAATCGAATTGAAGATATCTTAAATGCATTAAAGATATCTCAAACAGAGATATTTATGGATATTTGGATCTAATTGTAGATATTTCAAATACAGATCATGATAAATATCTACATTTCGTGACATCACATCGTGACATGGTGATGTGATAAAGGATATCTTGTGAAGAGATGTTGTTGTCTTAAACTGAATTAATCATATCAGAATGATATTTAAAGATATAAACAAATTCATGTTTTAATGATATCAGTAATTTAATTCCTGACGACCGTGAGTTCCATTCCTTTACAAAGAGTGATCCCATTCCAAGGCTGTCGTCACTTTGTGGAATGAGGGATGATCATTACCTGCTACACAAAACAAGAAGGGCGGATCTGGAGGAATAGCTTTGTGGTTAAAGCGTTCCCTCGTCACGCCAAAGGCCAGGGTTCGATTCTCCATACTGGTACAATGTGGGAAGACCATTTCTGATATTGCTTGAAAATTGCTAAAAAGCTACCTAAAACTAAACTCACTCACTAACAATACAAGAGCAACTGAAGTACTTGACAAACGTACCTTGGATCATACGAGTGGATATGGCAGCCGTAGGCTGTAGCTACTGCATCGTCGAAACTCCAGTCGTAATTGATCCTGAAAGGGAACAATAACTATGAAATAGATATCACAGTATCAAAGGTAATCTTACAATCTGATAAGGGCTGCAGGTAGCCTGGTGGTTAAAGCGTTATCCTGTCACGCCAAAGACCCGGGTTCGATTCCCCGATTGGGTACAATGTGTGAAGCCCATATCTGGTGTCCCTGCCGCGATAGTGCTGGAATATTGCAAAAAGCGGCGAAAACCCATTCTCTCACTCACTCACGACAATCTGACATAATCAAACAAGATCTGAAGTGTACCAACCCAAAATATGCTTCCATATCTACATGCTGTTTGTACATCTTGATAGGGAATGGATTCTGGTCTGCTTCAAATACTACAGTTCCAACGCGTTTTATTTACAAAAATATTTAGGTTCATACTTTTAATTACTACAATATATGATTTTCCATCTGTGTCTACTAGCTAAACTGTCTAGTCTCCATCAGGTAGCTGTTCCATAATTATAACTGGCTGATCTACTTGGTCCTTCGATTCTGAGGACAACCACTCGCAGACCTCTGGGGACTAATTTTTACCATATCTTACCATAATTTACTACATTTTACCATATCTTACCATTTATAATCTATATATGAAAGATGAGGTGGGGGTCGTATTTTCGTGAATTTGTCAACAATTCATTTATTTCTGTCAAACTCCAGATTTTACTAGACACAGTCAGGTACAAATTATACAGCCCAAAAATCTACAGCAGAACATATTCAAAGTATGCCTTTTGAATAAACATCAGTCCTTGATCTGTTATCAACAAATTCGATCTTTTCATAACAAATAAATTATCCTTTAGATTAATTGTCCTTAAGATTAAGGTATCGAACCGCACTTCTATGGACATAATGCATTGCAAATTCCAACACTGATTAATCAATTATTGTATATATTGTACAGTTTTCATCCACTGTGTCTCCTTTCAGAACAAGGTCTGGTAGCCTAGTGGTTAAAGCGTTCGCCCGTTAAGCCAAAGACCCGGTTCGATTCCCCACATAGGTACAATGTGTGAAGCTCATTAAAGAAGATGATATTGCTAAAAGCGGCCTAAAACTAACTCTCTCACTCACTCACTCACTCACTCACTCACACACTCACTCACTCACATGAGCAGAAAACAATGAAATCAGTGATTCGTTGAAATATATAATCAAAATATTAGCTGTAAAAATGCAAAAAAGTAAAATATTTTTACGCAAATGTTCAGAAAGTCTCTGGAATAATAGCATTGAAATATTATTGCTTGGTATTTACCAAACATGATTTATTATACCAACCATATTTTGCAGCGGCAATTGTCTATTTTTCTGTTATAACTTTAAATATGATTCATGGTTGACAGTACCAGCTTGAGCTGACACACCCTGTCCAACAAGTTCACTCGGTCCTCTCCATTCACTTGAGTATGCGAGTCCCAATGGCCTCACCACTGTGTCGTTGAAAGGACCTATTCACTGTTTATGGGCTTTGTGTGTCGGTTGCCGTGCAAATCAATGCGGCGAGACGACATGTATGGTTTAAACATAATTTTATTCCGTCAATACAGAAACCTGGATAGGCGAACAAGCCAAGTGGCTTATATAAACGCCGCTCTAGTACACGGTTCCAATATTGCTGGATACATATTTGAAATAGTCCGACAAGAAAAGAATACTACTGAAACAAAATTGCACTCAGAAAAATGATTGAATAATAAATATTTGGTTATGGTGTTGGTTGTGCCTAGCAACGAAAAGAGCTGCCGCAGAAAATCAAGTTATATAAATCTTGTCTTGCGTTGAATATACATGTATATGTAGAGGTGATAATCACTGGAAGCGCTTACTTTTAGAAACGAACTGGTGTAATGAGTTTAGAATGTCACAATTTGTTGAGTTATCCAATGCGCCGTTACCGTATAAGGTAGTTTTCACATCGTATCCTTGAATATAAAAATACACCGTTGTTCTTAAATTTTGATAGTTCCGACATGTAAAATGGTAGTGAATGACGTCTTCGTTATAATGACCACATGAACACTTAGCTGTTACTGATATATGTCGATTATATCTGTCTGCGTTCAGATCACTACAGCCGAGCTTGAGGCGACAATGGATGATTTGACAAAATCTAGTCCCAAAATTTAAATCAAAGTAGTTGTCAGTTTCTGTTGGATTTATCATGGTTTTAAACTGCCTCACGGAAATAGCGTTTACAGCTCCATCGGGCAATGAATTCCACGACATAATCGCGCTCGGTAAAAATGACTGAGAATATCTTTGTGTTCTACAGTAAATAGTAGTTTGAATGGAAGTACTATCTCTAAGATTATAGTTGCTTTGTTGAAATACTCTACCTGGTACAAGATCATTCAGATAATCAGGAGTCAGACGATGATACATTTTATAGAAAGTTATAAGTTTAGAGCGATATCGTCTTTGTTTCAGTGTGCTATAATTAGTTTCCTTGTATATTTTATCAAGACTGGTGCCACGAACCGCACCGCATATAGTTCTTAATGCGTCTAAGTGTAAATTTTCCAGTAAAATCGCCTGTTCAATCGTACAATTATCCCATATATGACAGCAGTAATCAAAAAGTGGTAAGATAAAGGAGTTATATAAAGTAGTTAGCGTTTTCCGAGATAAACGATAGACATGTATATGGTACTGTACAATAATCCTAGTTGTCTGCCTCCAGCACAAAACACGAAACAAGTGTTAGGGTTATGGTTGGGTAGTTAACGTCTGAGACATTGATATTCAGGTATGGGGTGGGGGAAGGTATGGGGTGGGGGTACAAGACTGTAGATTCTCAAGTACTCAGCAACAGAAGCAGACGTGGAAACGATCAACCTGAGACCCAAGACAAGACATGTATCGATCAAGGTAAACGGGTTTCGCGTGTATGTAGCCAATCGATGAACAATCTCTGTGAGGATACTGTTGCTATGGCAACGAGGCATCGACCAGACCTACCCAAAGGAGTAAATATTGCAGGGTGTCTTGATGTTATATGGAGGGTCTTCACAAACGTTCCAGCCACCGTCACCGACGTTGCCTCGCCTGACCATCTTCTTACACGAAAACTGAACGCTGTTGACATAACTGGAAAAAAATAATTAAATATTAATATTGAAACTGCCCTCGGCAATATTCCAATTATATGGCGACAGTCTGCTAATAATCAAGTCTTGACCTGACGATCAAGTGAATCACATCATGAGCATCGATCTTTGCAATGTGGACATGATGACAACTGTCAACCAAATAAGCGAGTCTGACCACCCGATCCCGTTAGTCGCCTCTTACAACAAGCAAGACCAATTCTAACTCGGATCTTCACGTGTCTATATGTTATGACAATAAGTAACTTGCTTGTTAAAACGGTTATAAAACACTTAACAATTACCGTTATCCTCCACTGTTAAAAACCTACAAAGGCATTCAACCTTAACAAGACAACATGTAGCTCTCATTTGTTCTTGCAGCTAAATGACTGCATTTCAGCATCAGAATATTCTGTCCTATATTGGAAGGTTTGTCAACCAAACCCACTAGCTTTACTGTCAATTTCCACTACCTTTTCAAATTCATTAAAATTTAAAATATTCATATCTAACGCAAAAAGGGATGCGTTTACCTGATTAAATTAATACATTTGTTAAAAATTCATATTTTCTTACTTAAAGGAGAATCGTTTCCATGGCAACGAACAAATATTTAATGAGCCTGGTATGGAGTTGTAACATTTCAAATGGTATCATGTAACTGCAGGCTTCCCTGTGGCATTCCAGGTATGATTACAGGTGCATCCTCACATTGCCACCAGGCCACCAAGGATTAACATGCAATGTGAATGAGAGGGTATGTTTTCAGTGCAGTGAGAGTGTTGAGGATGAAAGACACGTTCTGTTGTATTGCCCTATGTATGATGATTTGCGTGAAAGTTTATATGAAAATGTCTGTTTTAGCTATCCCAACTTCTTAGATCTTTGTGATGATGATAAATTAGTTTTACTTTTTAAACACCATGTATATTTCAGTGCCAAAACCTGCTTTTATATCTTGCAAAGAAGAAAACATATTTTATACGGATAGATTTTACACTGTATGTACCTATATAATTATGTATTATTTAGTATTATTAATGTATTAATACATTAGTCTCTCACAACCCTTAAAGGGTGGCTCACTTATATGCTATATTTTATAAATATATTTATATATGTATTTTATGTGAGGTGAGACTGAAATAAAATATCTGTCTGTCTATCTGTCTGCATTAGTTTTAAAATGTTCATACAAGCACAGGGGTTTCTTTGATGGGCATTTTAGAAGTTGAGTCGATGAATTCCTGGCTTCCTATTAGTTGTATAAGCTCTACTTCAGTCCTAGTATGTCACCCTACTGGCTTCCTATCAACTTACTCAATCTGTTATACAAGCGTTGTACATCAACCTCATTTATTGTATAAACAACTCATTTCCTATCTACTGTAATAACAACTCATGTACATACTCTCTCAATTTGTTACTCATGTATCACCTGCTTGACAACGACATTAGAATCTATGTGGAAATGTCGCCTCCACAGAATACAAGAAGCTGTATATCCATAATAATTGTCATTCTTCTTCTTTAAGCACAGGGGTGGTGTCAAAATCTCACTAAATGGTGAACATATTTCACTTAGCAATTAGTGTCATGACCTGAGATATGTTAACTAACTTGGTGAATATGAAAATAATTAAACGAAAGAATTAGTATTATTTCACTGTTCAATAAGTGATCAGTTATTATATGATACCATATAAAGAGTTGTATGGCAAAATGCTCCATTGCAAAATGGCAAATGCACAGGTTGGCATGGGGGGTACTTATATATGGGGAAGGGGGATGCAGCAATTTTGTACATACAAATATTCAGAAATTTTACATGTGGAAGTGGTGGTAATTGATCATGTACATGACATTGGGGTGGGGGTGGTGGGGGGTGTGTGTTTGTCACTTACTTTGTACATGCTTCTCCATAAAATTCATCATTGCCACCCAATCTACACCCACCCACACCTCCACCCATAAATTATGAATGGTCGCTAAGATGGCTAAACATTAATATTATAGCTGTGTTTATGCACTGAACATTATTGATACTAAATGAAATGGCATGTAAATTGATATTTATGTGATTCAGTTTGATGTTGTGGATATTTGAATAAAAGTTTTTGAGATGACCCCTGGTGACGTCTATGTTTAAGCCAATCATCATGGGTGACTGTATCACACATTGTGAACAATAGGTGGTGGCAAAGATCCTGTCTCCACGGTCTGACGGGCCTATTATATTAGTGAGAAACAGTATACATTTCCTGTAACCCATTTGAAGTTCGGGTTATAACTGACACGAAGAAGCACATACACACAGGCAAGCTCTTTTTTAGATATACTGATATACTCGTTTAGATGAGGCCCAGATAAGCTGCGTATATACGGGTAAAATAGGCATAGAAAATTTCCATTTACGCGTTGAAAAATATTTGTTGCTACCAATTACGCATTTAAAATGTTAGATACGCAAAAAGTTTAAAACAAATGCGTACGGAATATATTTATAAAAATTGCTTGCGTAATGAAGACATCGATTGCTATCAAGTTGTACTGTTAGTATAGGACAAGTGTTGTACTGTCAGTATAGGATGAGTGATTTTTTATGAAATCATTTCCATTATATTTAAGTTAGTTTTGATTAGGTATGACATAAGGCAGAACATACCTGTTTAGTAAACTTACTCAATGACGTAATACTTAGGTGAGTAAAATGACTGAAATACGCACATATTTGAAAGCAGTGGGTAACCGAAAATGAAATACCCACTCAACATTCATAATACCCACTCCAAAACAATACAGTGGGTACAGTACCCACATGAGCTAAATCTTATCTTGAGCTCTGCCGTTTAGATTTTGGAATTTGTTTTAAATCGAATCATTCGTGGACATGACCTTACTTGTGGTATATCTGTGACAGCTGCCGTCTGTCTAATGTCTTCAACACCTGCAGTGTGGGCATGGGTTGTCCTCCTGGCACTGGATTCTGAAAGAAATAGGGGACAGTGGAAACACTCCCTGAAGTGAGCTGAGGTGACGTTTTCACCGATCTGATCAGAAATTCAGCCCCTGGCAGTTTACTGTCGAGGTAAAGCCTAAATTGAGGTAGGCCACTAATCTGATGGACGCCCCTCTTGGGTTGCTGGTAAACCACAAGGCGTTAAATTAATGGAATCGAGGAACCTGAAAGACATAATTATTCAACAAACTGCAGTAATCATCCATTAATATTCCATGTCATATGTAACAGAACCATGCCAGCTCCATGTGTATGACATGTGAATCCTCGATTCCTGGGTAGGAAATCCAGTGGTTGATATTATGATTCAACTTAAACTTATCAAATGAGAAAACCTAGGCTACTTACTGATATCACAGCAGGCGTTGCTGTCTGGGCAGGTGCTGGTACATTTTCCTGGGAACCTCCACTATTCATGTAGACAATCTGGATGTTCTTGAGATTGGTCCATTTGAACATTGCAAACACCATAAAAGACATCAGCACAAAAGCCAGCAGCACCCGGCCTTTCGAAAACTGTACCGGCATCATGGCTCTTCAGTTTGTGGGTGAAGTCCCGACCCCAGACTCTGCAACAAACAGAAACAATATTTTAGATATGAACATTGACCCTTAGAGTCTTTCCACGTATTTATAATTAGAAGGATACACATAAAAGGGTGGATGGACAAGTGGAAGCCCAGATTATATACTGATGTGCAAAAGAAAGTACACACTTGGTGCTTTGAGACTATCAAAACAACGTAAATATTTTGCTAGCAATGTTCCAATTGGGTACGATATCTATGGTGTTATTGCAACAGGTACACAATTTTTGTGACTTGAGAGTCGCAATCAAAACACTTTTCAAAATATTACGCTGTTTTCAGGAAAACATTGTACCAACGCATCAGGTGTGTACTTTCTTTTGAACGTCAGTTTATATTAAAGCTGTATTAGCCATGCTGTCAAGTCAAAACACAAACATGAGGGTGTAGAGTGGGGCAGTGGTTGTTTGAGGACAGTATGCGTGGTGGGTGGGTGGGTGTGGGTGGGTATGCTGGAGCAGGAGGGCCGTGTACAGTGGGCCTGTGTGAGTTTAGTTTTAGGCTGCACTCAGCAATATTCCATCTATATGCGGTGGTCTGTAAATAATCGAGTCTGGATCAGACAATCAAGTGATCAACAGCATGAGGGTCGATCTACCCAAACGGTCAACCAAGTCGGCGAGCCTGACCACCCGATCCCGTTAGTCGCCTCTAACGACAAGCATGGGTTACTGAAGATCAATTCTAACCGCATCTTCTCCGGTTCAACCGCAGCCCAATTCCTTTTAGTCTTACGGGGTGATGCAGTTCGCCAGGATGGGATTCATCACAGTTTGATCAATGACAGTTGATTCTCAGTCATTTCAAATACAAAAATCAACATTTACTTGTCTTGTAGAGATGCGAATGTGAATGTTAACGTATCGATCATGAACGTCATACCCTTAAATGTAAACTTGCACCACCTGTTGACGATTTAGGGGTTTCGAAAACACACACACACACACACACACACACACACACACACACACACACACACACACACACACACACACACACACTTTGAAAATTCCTTGATCCGCCTATGGTAGATGTCATCCTATATTTGAATACTAAAACGTCAATCAGCATCATAAACTGAATACAAAAATACCCTGTCGTTTCGTCTCTGGATCGCCATGACACCCAGTCGATCAAAATATTCAACACTTGAATTATAAAATTCCGTTTAAAACTAAACGTCAACAGTCCACAGTTTGTTGAAGTTACTATTACTGACGAGTTCGATCAGGTTTCTTTTTCAAGAGAAAGAGAGCAGTGCCTCAAGGGCATACTTTTGACGCCATTGTTCTGACTGCCAAGGTGCACACTTACATTAGAGCCCCTTGTGAAAGGGAAATACAAGACTTCGTGTATTTTGTCTCCTTATTAAGGTTTCATGGGCAAAGTATGTTGTACATACAACCTGGCTTCTCTTTCCTATTGCTGGTGGGAAGAAAGTTAGCCTCGTTTTTTTCAAAGGGTCAAGGACATGATCAGGGGACGCTACTCTCATGTCAAATATCCATGCAACATAAATTTCAAGTAAAGACGTCCGGTGTTCGAGCCAATATGATATTTCAGTGTGCTCTGAAACGTCAGCGTTATGTCTAGTAATTCTATTAAAAATATCCCTGAGTCTAGTATTGTGCCCGGATCCATGGAACGTGAATCGCAGAGTATTAGTCAATATATAACCGGCTCAGCGGGTTTCAATAAAAGATGAATGTGTTAGTATAGTCACGCGATGTATACATAATTCATTGCGAAGAATTTACCCTCTAACGCGTTCACTCCGTTACACTGATTATGTGTCATCAAAATTTCAGCGTTTAAGCAAAACGGCCAAATGTAGTTTGCACTTGGATCGATCTACCAGTATGGTCAGTTTGAAAATGAAAACTAATATACTACTTAACTGCAGCATCCTGGTGTACGTTTGCTGTGTATATACTTTGATTACTTGATACAGAATGAGGGGCGGTGGGGTAGCCTAGTGGTTAAAGCGTTGGCTCGTCACGCCGAAGGCCCGGGTTCGATTCCCCACATGGGTACAATGTGTGAAGCCCATTTGTGGTGTCCCCCGCGGTGATATTGCTGGAATATTGCTAAAAGCGGCGTAAAACTAAACTCACTCACTCACTCACTGATACAGAATGAACATTATGCGAAGGTGTTATTAACCCACGGTGCATGACGGACGCATTAAGTGAGTGAGTGAGTTTGGTTTTACGCCGCTTTAAGCAATATTCCAGCAATACCACAGCGGGGGACACCAGAAATGGGTTTCACACATTGTACCCATGTGTGGAATCGAACCCGGGTTTTCGGCGTGACGAGCGAACGCCTTAGCCATTAGGCTTCCCCACCGCCCCCCGACCGCATCCGTGGTGTAGTGGTTAGAGCGTCCGCCCGGAGAGCGGAAGGTCGCGGGTTGGATCCCCGACCGCGTCATACCAAAAGACGTTAAAATGTGGTACTTGTTGGTCCCTGCCTGGCGCTCGGCATTAATGGGTACAATAAGGACTGGTCGGCTCGGAGTCAGTATAATGTGTCTGAGTGGGGTATTCATGCTACACTGCGGCGTGGTATCTCAGTGGGCTAGCACTATAAAACCAGCTTAAGTCTGGGCTAGTACAAGCAGCCGCACATACACATACACACGCATGCATGTCGTCATATGAGTGAAATATTCTCAAGCACGAGGTTAAACCCAATTTCACTTCCCCCACCTCCCCACCTCCCCGGACGCATTAAGTAGTGAAATGTGCATAGGGTATTGAAACTCGGGTATAAATGAAGTGTGCACCCCTCCTTTTCTCAATAGTGTGCACACACACACACACACACACACACCCCCCCCTTTCTCAAAAAGCTGTATCCGCCCCTGATGTGTGTGACAAAACAGTGCATGTAAACGAGAGAAACTAGTCATGTGCACAGTCACTAGTCATGTAATCTGAAGGAAAGTATTTTGGGTATATTAACCAAATATTTATGATTGCATGTCTAGTTGATTTCATTCACCGTTTGACGAAATAAGGGGGAAGAAGATTTTTCTTTCTGTTCAGCCCGAAAACGACATTTGTAGTTTATAACACTCTAAAGCCACTATTATCAGTAAGTAGTCAATAGAGGGGTACTGACTCTCAGCTGTTACCATGGATACAGAGATAACACCGTGTAAATACAGATAGTAGTTATACAACAGCGCCTCTCAATGTTAGTGTCGAACCAACTCTCTACTCGAGAGTAGCATAATGGCATACTCAAATATAACTTGCAGTAACTATTACCAAGTTGTATTGACATACCATTCGAATGGTGTATGGTATGCATACATGCTCAATTTCCTAAACATATAAACTTTAAGTAGTTAATGTGCCTCAAACAGAGAATTCTGCAAGTTAGAAAAATATCGGTTAAATTTCTCTGCTCACAACCACCCAATTAACAGTAACTTTGACTCTCGTTACAAAAACGACATGAAAACCTTTTTTTCTGATTGAGGACCTATCGTACACTGAAAACGGGACAAAAAGTATACTGGACAAAAATAGTTAGGGATATATGCAAATTTTGAAATAATGAATAATGATCTATTTATTCATTGACACACTGATAAAATATAAATCATAAAAATACCAATATCCCTAACTTATTTTGTCCAGTATATATATCGTAACTGGATTTCTTGGGCCGATGGGATGAAGAAAAACCTCTCGTCTACAGGTATTCATTTCTGTTTTCTCATCGATTGAAGTGTGTCAATCAAATTGCAATCTTTACACGTATTTAAACCAGTTTGCACCTAGTGCATGTTAGTATTTTGCTGTTCAAAGAACACAGACTTCATCTTGGAAACAGAAAGATGTGGAACTGGCTTGTGACTCAGAGCAGTGACTACACGGTCAATGACTGTGTCTGTTCAAGTCATGACATACATGTATATATATAATGTAATCTTATCAGATATAGAATGTTTTGGTTACAATGATGTTCTAAATCATTAATTTTCAAAACCCCAATTTCATACTTTTGTTTGGGATTCAAAGTTCCTGCCTAAGGCTGAACTAAGTGCAAATAAGTTTTATTTCTTGCAATCGAACCCAACAATAAATTGGTATAAATGGTTTTGGGAGATACTGAGAAGTATGCACTCGTCAAACGAGATTTTCGTTAACTTTCGACAAGGATTTTAGATGAAAGTGGTGTAAATTGTTAAGATAACAATGAAGAGCGCCAAGTTTGTTTTCCGTATGGAATATGATACGGGATTTGTGTGGTTCAATGTAAAAAATAATTAACCATAACTCTTGAAATTGGGACTAATTTAGTGAATTTTCATGAATCATATATTATATTCTACAATTTTGGTGACATTACACGTTGGCATAAACCTCAAGGCGTCATTTGAAAACAGATGAGATGACATCGAACATGCGATTTTGGGGGGACGAACGATTTCAAATATTGTTTCTAATAAATAGTTTTCAATTTGCTATCGAGCTCATATCTACCAATAAAAGAATACGAATGTTTGACATCAGAGATATGTTATATTTGGGATTACACTTTCCTAGTAAAGTACAGATTCTAGTACTTTTGTTGGGTTGAGTCCCATCCGGGATTCGAACCCACCTACTAAGAAAGTGTAATCCCAAATATATCATATGTTACATTTCACAGCTTTCTAAATGGCATTGTGTAGTAATCGGAGATATGCTTATCAAATAGGTCAGAACAAACATAACGGTTTATACAGATTCCTAAGATGACTCAATTACGATATTTCCGCTCCACACCGCAAAGCACCGTAACGCAATGCAACGCAACTCAACGCACAACATATAGAACACCGGTACCATACACCACACCACACAACACAATACAATACTTACCACAGAACACAACACCACACATAACACTAGGCCACAACACACCACACCAGTAACAGTCCAATCACAGATTTGAGGGGCGTAGGGGTAGCCTAGTGGTTAAAGCATCCACTCGTCACGTCGAAAACCCGCGTTCGAATCCCCACATGGGCACAATGTGTGAAGCCCATTTCTGGTGTCCCCCGCCGTGATATTGCTGAATATTGCTAAAAGCGGCAATAAACTAAACTGACTCACTCTCTCCAATCACAGATCTTATATACTTGTATACTGTATACATGCCTGTAAATATTAATAAGCATACTTACACCAACGATAATGTATATGTCCACGTGTGTTCGCTTACGATAACCTACCACAGTAAACCAGAGCCAATCGTGGATGCTAAGTAATCTGTCTCGACACATCAACATTCCTACCATAAAGGTTGACCCCTGGCAACACTAACGTCTCCTATCTGTAAATCACGTGATGCTGGAACACGAGTGGGGGGGTTGAATGAACTTTGCTAGAGTGTTTACTTATGGGGTGTCAGGGTAGGGGTAGAGATACCGGGTCAAGAAGCATAACCCACTCTCAGTGTAGTCACCCCCGGGCTGATCAGTCTTTGTATTTGACTACTCAGCCAGGGGACATTTCTGGACCAGGCCGGCGGTCAAACCACTGACCTTCGGCTGTGTGGGAACACGATCTATTCACAAGGCAATGGGTGAGTGAGTGACTATTGCTTAAAGCCGCATCAGCAATTTTGCAGCTATTCACGGCGACCAAGGCAATGAGTGAGTGAGTGTGGTTTTACGCCGCTTTTAGCAATATATACAGAAATATCACGGCGGGGTACACCAAAAATTAGCTTCACACATTGTACCCATGTGGGGATTCGAACCCGGGTTTTCGGCGTAACTGGAGAACGCTTTAAACACAAGGCTATCCCACCGACCCTCAAGGCAATGAAGGTCGTACTCAAGAATCTAACTACAAAGCTGGTATATATAGCGAGTGAGTAGGGTTTTACGCCGCTTTAAGCAATATTCCAACACGATCACGAGAAATCTAAACACATTATACCCATAAGGGGAATCGAGCCCGGGTCTTCAGCATGACGAGCGAGTGCCTTTACAACTAGGCTACCCTACCGCCCCCGGATACGTATATATTGAATGAGAATCAGATCGTTGTATGTTCGACATACATGTAGATGTAACATTTTCTCTTCTCTTCGATGAGAAATGTAAACGTCTTTCACTTCAGCTGAGTCAATGTTGGTTTTACCCGTGAAGATCCGGGTTAGAATTGATCTTCAGTAACCCATGCTTGTCGTAAGAGGCGGGATCGGGTGGTCAGGCTCGCTGACTTGCTTGACACGTCATCGTATCCCAATTGTGTAGATCGATGCTCATGGTGTTGATCACTGGATTGTCTGGTCCAGACTCGATTATTTACAGACGGGCGTCATATAGCTGGAATATCGCTGAGCACGGCGTTAAACAACAAACCAACCAACCAACCACAATATGGCGTTAAACAACAAACCAACCAACCAACCAACCACAATATGGCGCTGGGGATCAAAGTCCATGTGGGAAAATATATTACGTTTGTGTTGTTTTCAAATATACATGAGGGCTAAAGGTTTAAATTTAACAAAACTTTACGTTGGTCTACTCCCATTTGCGAGAACTCCCAGTTGCGAGACTCCCAGTTGTGAGACAGTGGAGAAGGTAAGTAGCAAAGAAAACACACCTTACTCCCCTGTCTGATAGAATGGATTAACCCCAGCTAATTAGAGATTAGCTATTTAACTGAATCTTGTGAAGGTAGCTTAAAAGATAAAGTAATTAACCTACTCAGGTAAATGGCTTTAAAAAATAAACACTTTGTGTAGGTAACTTCGTGATCATTTGAAAGAGAAATTAACGCCTCCGTTTTGTGGGCAGCCTGAGAAAGCGACCAAGGGATGAACCAACATCAACTATGCCGAGCATCTACAACGACGAGGTGACAAAACTTGATGCAGCTGCTGTTTGAACTCTTCCCTCCTTCCCTTCTGTCGAGAGTGCTCTCTATCGACATAGAAGGCACACCACCCCTAAGCTCCTCAGACCAGAGCCGATGTCAACCTCACTGCTCCATGGACGGACACATGCGACGGCAACAGATTTCTGCTGTTCAGCGATGGTGAAGACGACAAGATGGTCGTGTTCTCAACAGATGAACAGCTGCGAGTGCTTCGATCCGCAACAGTTATCTACATGGACGGCACGTTCACAACATGTCCCGACCTCTGGAACCAGCTGTACATCCTCCATGTCAGGAAAGGGATAACGACCTTCCCCTTGGTATACGCCCTGCTCCCTGGGAGGCGCCCCTCGATAGAGGAAACGCGTGTATAGGGAAATAGACAATCGCCTACATAGACTCAAAGATCAACTCGCAGATGGAACGAAAAATCACATGCAGTATCTTGATGCAGTCGGCAAACTGCTGAAAATACGAAAAGTGTCAAAATCTCCAAATATGGACCCATGTAAAAAAGTGTTTTATAATGACACACAAACATCATAATAACGCAAATCATCAAAATGTGTGAATAAAAAATGATAATGAAGTATTTAATGAACTATTTCTTCTGTGTAAATATAATGATAATCTTTTTCAGTATTTCAGTATTTAACTTGTTCTTTATTGAAAACAATAAATGCTCTTCAATGAACAATGTCTTCTGTGTCTCATTAATGAACTATGCCCCCTTGCGGGTACTCTTCAGCAACAGGGCTGTTCCCACTTTCATCGTAGGGATGGGGAAGCACCACCTATGTGCACTGAACCATTAATTAATGTGTCTCACAACTGGGAGTTCTCGCAAATGGGAGGACACCCTTTACGTTAGCTGTTGCGTTTGTCTTCAATTAACATGATGACGAACATGGTCATCATTTCATATTCTGTTTTCTGTTTCATTTCATATTCTGTTTTCTGTTTCCTTTTTGACAGGTGTTTGCGAAGTTGAATAATATCAGTTGCCCATTCTATTCAGATTTGTGTTACAGTTTTCTCACTCTGCTATCTCGCTGCTGCTGCCTGCCGTTCAGCAGGCTGTGTTTATGCTGCAACACAGAGCAATGGTTAAACCTCTTGCCGCTCTTGTCAACCGTATGTGTAGGAGGAGACTATATTTCTCTTAGTACTGGGGATGGGGTGGGTGTGGGTGTCGGTGGGTGGTTGTGAGTGTAGGTGGGTATGAGGACAGAAGGATGAGTGTGTGGGTGGATTTAATGCTTGCATGAATGTACGTATGTATGTATGTATGTATGTATGTATGTATGTATGTATGTATGTATGTATATACATTTGTATGTATGTATGTATGTATGTATGTATGTATGTATGTATGTATGTATGTATGTATGTATGTATGTATGTATGTATGTATGTATGTATGTATGCAAGAATCGGTATGATGTTGCACGTGTGATACATGTGCAATATATATTTTTATCAATCATAAATGTTTTACTGTGTTTTATATCTGTCTCATAGGCCAAATGGCCGGATGCTATGTAAACGTTTTAATCGTGTCATCATGTACTGCTTATTAGCATGTGACACAATAATAAAATATTTTTCTTCTTTCTTCTCTTCTCCTTGATAACTTGTCTGCTCTTGTGCTCTCGCTTTGTGATGGCACAGATCAACGGAATCCACTCAATACATTATCACTCTATCGCCAGTTTTCGTTAATTCCGACTCATAGGGGAGCGGGGGTGAATTTCACAGATAACACATGTTAAATTCCTCGTCAATTGGTCATACAACAGCACTATTTATCACTCATAAAAAAATGACACCTGTTGACGATAATAAAATAGCGTCCGGCTGTGTCACTGAGTGATCAGGTCAGAATGTGTTACAAGTAATTGGTTTCATTCATAATGTCAGATGCATTTGTTTTTCTGTCTGTAATAAATTACCATTACTGTTTTCGCATTTCTGATTTCTTGCTGTCAAATTTTCATGTCGTAAAGTAGTTAATATGAAATAAGATCCTTAAAACTTTCGATACATTTGTACATATTTGAAATACCCGCCTCCGTGGTGTAGTGGTTAGAGCGTCCGCCCGGAGAGCGGAAGGTCGCGTGTTCGATCCCCGACCGCGTCATACCAAAAGACGTTAAAATATGGTACTTGTTGGTCCCTGCCTGGCGCTCGGCATAAATGGGTACAATAAGGACTGGTCGGCTCGGAGTCAGTATAATGTGTCTGAGTGGGGTGTTCATGCTTCACTGCGGCATGGTATCTCAGTGGGCAAGCACTATAAAACCAGCCTAAGTCTGGGCTAGTACAAGCAGCCGCACATACACATACACACGCATGCACGTCGTCATATGAGCGAAATATTCACCAGCACGACGTTAAACCCAATTTCACCTCACCTCACATATTTGAAATAATCCTAGTTACAGGGAATGCATATAGTGTATGCATATAAAGTTTTAAATGCATTCTTCACATTTGTGGTGATGTATGTATTTTCCTTAATACAATATTCGTTATTGATTACGAAACTCTCAGAAACACAGATGTACTCCTGAAACAGAAATTGTTCTGACGGAAGTTACAAATTGAGCAACATGTTCGAGAACCATTTGACACAAGGGACAATGAATTGCATTTCTATGTTATCCTCAATTCTACCACGTCATTAGTGATAATGTGTAAGACTGATGTGTGATAGTGTTGGGAATTGGTTGAAATCTCACAATTGCTTCATTACCAACGAACAACCATTGACAAAAATTGGTTAGCGTCATTTTTCAGATTTTCCTATCCAGGTTGTTATATCATGAACATAAACTTCCTTGAGTCTTAGAGAAACATTCAGTCATGGCTTTTCAGTTAGTGAAGTGAGTTTTCTAAGAATTAAACACGTTTTCAGGCCCTGGCAACTTCTAAGATATGTTCCATTATAAAGTTTTTCAAAGACTTAAACAGTAGTTCCAAAATCGTTTATGTTCGATCATGAGAAATTGTGATCGACTGCTTGGTCGTTTGGTCACTGCGACCAATCTTCGATTATTTCAATTAATCGGAACACCACAGGTGTGTGAGACTTGTGTAAACTGGCACGACTCCCATGGCCGAAAGCTACAAATACAGAATACGGATGGGACTCCCCCTAAAAGTTCTAGAACATGAGATTGTTGAGAGACATTTAGAAGTTGGTTAATATATAAGACGAGTATATGGATGGCAATTTCTTCTTTACTGTATAACACGACGTTTCTGAGCTACCTCTTGCCCCTTCTTCAGGTGATAAAATTCTAGAAAATGTGTATATACTTCACTGAGAAAGTTTAATCCCAAATATGGCACATGTTAAGTTGTTACATTTTACCACTTCCTGAAAGACATTGTATTCATAGCTGGTATTCGTGCTGATATAGACGTGTCAGAGAGGGGTGGTAGGGTAGCCTAGTGGTTAAAGCGTTCGCTCGTTTGATTCCCCACATGGGTACAATGTGTGAAGCCCATTTCTGGTGTCCCCCGCCGTGATATTGCTGGAATATTGCTAAAAGCGGAGTAAAACCATACTCACTCACTATACTTGCCAGAGAGGCACACAACACAACTAGACTACCAGCCGTCAGTTTCCAGTGTTATGGAAGCTTGATGGCTGAGTGGGTTAGATCGCTGATTGTTTGTGCTGCCACACTCTGACAGCGTGGACGTATCAAGCCCAATATTGGTGTGCCATACCGTGATATTAATCCCGGATGTGCCCACTTTCTAGACGTCATTGTGCATTTACTGAGTGAGTGAGTAAGTTTAGCTTTACGCTGCACTCAGCAATATGCCAGTTATATGGCGGCGATATGTGAATAATCCAGTCTGGACAAGACAATCCAGTGATCAACAGCATGAGCTGGGATACGATGACATGTGTCAGCCAAGTCAGCGAGGCTGACCACCCGATCCCGTTAGTCGCCTCTTACGACAAGCATGGGTTACTGAAGATCAATTCTAATTCTAACTACAAGACATCATCTATTTATATTTATATTCAATAAATGAGGTGAAATTCTGATTACGGGTCCGCAGGACCCCCTTTTGCTGGAGGGAGCCGAAGGGAGATTAATATGCAGGAGAACTCATTTATAATCAAATATAGTGAGTGAGTGAGTGTAGTTTTACGCAGCTTTTAGCAATATTCCAGCAATATCACGGCGGGGGACACCAGAAATGGGTTTCACACATTGCACCCATTCGGGGAATCGAACCCGGGTCTTCGGCGTGACGAGTGAACGCTTTAACCACTGGGCTACCCCACCGCCCCAGTAAAATATAGCGAATAAAGACTACACACATCATCATCATCATAACACTATGACTAACTAAATGAATGTTAGTTTTAATTTAAGACTGAAACACCACGAGCATATGACATTGCAAACACTAAACATTGCAACCGATCGAGAAAGACATGGCGAGATACGTACTGAGACATGACGATATTTACGTTGAATGTCCCACCCTTCTTTGTCCCGCAACCAATCCACCCAATAATACATGGCCGCGTACCTTCAGGCTTGGCCGACTTCAAGGGCTACCCTGCGCACAAAAGGACCTGTTTGACGGCAAAAGGAGGTCTTCGGACCCGGACTTTACCACCACTCTGCCATTAAAAATGTGACTTACATTTATTTATATAGAATATTTGTATGTACAGATTTCAGAATACTGCTGAAGCTTTAAATGAAACCAGGTGGCAAACTAGACAGCGGCCTTGAATATTGGAAGAGGAAACTCACTGACTGAGAGAAAAATCCATTATGGCGCCCAGTTGTCTTACTTTTTACCTAAGACCTCTTATGAAAACTGTTGAATGCACTTAAATGTGTATAGGAAATATATCGATGTACCTATGTAATATTAATATGATTTCGTTTCTTTAGGGTTTCTTTTACTAAAGATATATAATTTAAATGAAAACACGCCCACCACCCCGCCACCCCGTCCCTGTATCACGAAGAAATCTTTTCACTACACCATTTGCATGACCTATTTATTAACTTAGTGAAGGCAGGACAGATACAGATAGGTTCCCTTGTTGTAGCTGAAGTAAGCTCTACCTGGGCTTCGGCATTTACGTGCGTGACTGAAAGTGTTTGCACAGCTCGTCCTCGAAAACTGTGCACAACCATCTCATATATCTCTTCGATATATGCTTTGCTTTCAATTTGCGACGACCTGAATATTACCTCGGGTAAGCCTAGTCCGCTAGATAATTGACCAGCCTACCCTCGGGGAGGCCAATACCAGCCCTCATGTGTGTGCATGTTGAACTGGATCTAGCTAGGAGGTTACACATTCTCATGTACAGGTGAATACCTGGCGAACGAGTGTATTGACTTACACGCTCTAAGGAATAACACCACTGCCCGGTAAATGTTCTCATAATGATTATTCTATGTAAATCAGAACTGCAAAGTACAAAGAACACAGTATAAAGTATAAAGTACAACACTTGCATTTGTGGAACAGCATAGTGGAGATACCCGACGTGAACAAATATGTCCGCGGTATTAGAAGAAAATGTATCTTCAGGGTAGGTATAGATAAATCAGTGGAACATAACGCCATGTGTGCCACTAACATACGCTGTAACTATTTTGAACATATTTTAAATCGTCGCGATCATGAAAGTGATTTGTAGTCAAATATGATAAAAGCAATATGCTAACTATTACGGGCTCTCTTCAAAGGGCCCAACGTATGAAGTGATAGCGATTCCATCATCAGTGTAAGGTTAGACCGTCAAAAGTATCGGTACATACCAACTCCAGAATGACTTGATTCAATGTGTTGAAAGGATTGAAGGGGGTATCCGGTGTGTGCTGTGAAAAGACTTGACTACCTTTGAGGGAATATCAACCCTGATAACCGCCAGGCTTGAACTGCGCATGAAGGTGAACACCACGTGACGTCGTTTGGTTGTAATGAGGCATGCGCTGTAGTTTGCACGTAGTCTACGATTGGTTTGTTTGGGTGGCCGGTCGTTCAACGCCGTTCAATATTCCAGCTATGTGCAGTGTGCGAGGAGCACTGTATTGTGGCTATTGATTGACGCCGTGCTTTATTAGTTATTACATGGCTGTTCAGTTTATTGTTAATCAATAACTTACTTTTACAATTTTACATTGCTTCAAACACAGGATTCAGTCAAAATTCATATTAAGGGACCGTTCATAATTTATGGCTGGGGGTGGGGCGGGGTGTGTGTGATGATGATGATTTTAAGGGGGGATCACCCATTTTGTTCTGGGGAGGTGTGTTGCGGTCGGTATAGTCTGTCTCACAGTCCCTGAACCACAGTAATTTTCCTACTGCCAAGCTCTCTCTGCAGTGCTAAAGCCCTAAATAAAGCAAGTCTAGATTTCCTCAGGTTCAGGCTGAATCTCTGGTCTCCCTAGGGCTCCTTTTCAATATAAATGGGCTTGTTTGTTACTATCAAAATAATATATATTCAGAGACTAAGCCTTAGTCTAGGGTCTGTACAATCCCCAATATGTAAAATCAAGACAATATGTAAAAACTAACACAATATGTAACAACTTAACGCAAAACGTAAAAAATAACGCAATATGTAAAATATTAACGCACTATGTAAAAAATGTCTTTAACGCAAAAAGTACAACACCTAACGCAAAATGTAAAAACAATTTTTAAGGTAATATTTCTTTGTTTTAACCTTTCTATCCTTTGTTATATTAAAATCAAAATCTTTCACTTCGACACAACAACTACTTTCCACCAAATTTTGGTTTACAGTTAGAAATAGATAATCAAGGGGGCAAATAATAAAATTAATCTAGTTTCAGCCAATTGCAGAGGTTTAGCCGATGAAAGTAAACGCAAAGAAATTATGAATATATACAGAAAAAAGAAATTCTCTATCATATGTTTACAAGATATACATGTTTCTATAGACCATGAAAATATCCTGAAAAATGAATGGGGTTTCGATTGAGTTATTGCTCCTTTCAAGTCAAATGCAAGAGGAGTTTTACGTCGCATGTGACCTTTAGGCTATGAGGAATACACAAAAGGAGTCGCCAAACTAAAACACAATATATTCAAGATTGATTTTGCTTTTTACATTTTTATCATTTTAAAAATTATCGTTATTTTTGCTACAGTCGAAAATATTGATCTTGACTTCGTTGTGTACTGGTCACCGTAAAACACAACTTTGCAGATTCTGATACCTTTCGGTATGGACTTACCGAAACAAATCGTCAAAAATGCAAATTCAACTTATAAAGTTGAAAAATAACGCGATGAAAAAAAACGCGCGAAATCGGAGTTCAAACGTTTCACTAAATTTCCCCCGGCTTTTCTGGGGAAAACGGGTTTCAACAGCTGGGCTGCGCTCATAGCATGTGCGCAGTGAAATAGGTTCGCGCAGCTTGGAAGCGGGTTGTCCGGTGAATACTCGGTGAATGCTTTGGTGTGAGCTATTTTTCTAATGTTTTGTTGATATCTCACAGGCGCGAGCTTTTTATATCTTATGACAGTAAATTAACTGTTTATATAATTTCATTTGTCTATTTCACCACACGTTCTTCTTACCGAGTCACTTTCTCAGTTCGATACTTAAAAGCAACCGGTTAACGTGCACTCACCAGTATGTAGATACTAGTCCATATACGTCTATATATTTGGTCTTATAATCCTAATTAGTTTATTATCATACTTGTATGCATTTTGAAACTAAATAAAAAGCAGACGATCTGCTGATACTTATAGCATTACAGCATTTATAACAGGACGGTAATATCTAGACAGTTTATAGTTTGCCAATGTGAATCATAATTCGCACACACGCCCTAGTGTATGTCTCATTACACGTCACGACGAAAACAACGATTCTGTTCAATGCTACGACAAATGAATAAAAACAAAATGCAAATATTAAAATTAAAACAGATTAAAGTTATAGGAACAATGTCAGGCTATTACCTTGTTCGAGGAATGTATCCATCAATATCCACAAAAACGAGTGATATGCCATTCATCTGCAGCTGTTCCAAGTAATGTGTCTTTTAACAGTCTAGTATACGAAAAAAGTGATATATCGTTTCAAAAAATTGTAATTTAGTTAGCCAATAATGAGCAATCAATCACTGTATTGGCGGTTAATCCTTTGAAAGAAGGACGTTGTTTTTACGCAGACACAGACACGAAAGAGTGTATTCAGTATAGATTAGTAAATCTACATACATAAACACTACATTTTGACAAATCCGCTGTGTAAGACAAAAGTAATTAATCAATCAGCGTGTTATCGGTTAATCCTTTGATCGATGTTTATAATGTTGAATATTTACTCCAGACAAAAGAAATGCCAAATGGGAACCTTTGTCGGGTCATCTAAGTGGTGTTACCACTAATTATACCTGTTATAAATTCATTAACTGGCCATCAAGTGAATGATGACAAATAACATGTGTAGGTTTATACCTCCTAACACGGGTTACCTTGAAAGTTATCTATTACACCTCCCATTAAATGTACGCATTTGGCTTACCTCTATTATAACTTGTTACCTTAAACTTTCAATAGAAACAGGTAGATGGTATAATAATATTAAAGAAGAAAGATTATGTACATTGTGTAAGAACACAATAGGAGATGAACTTCACTTCATGTTATATTGTTCATGTTTAAGTAATGTAAGAAATTCATTCCTACCAAACTATTATTGTAATTATCCATCATTAGATAAATTTATATCCCTCATGTCTTGTACGCATAAAGCGCTATTGTTAAAAGTAAGCAACTATGTGAAAACCGGACTACGTATGCTCCCATGAAACAAATCTGTACATTTGTATTTTTCTCTGTCACTATTGCGTGATCTTCATGAGAATAAACCATTCATTCGTTACAACGAGGGAGTACAATTGCTGTATTGTGAAAACTTATGGGCCGAAACTGTTTTGAGAATACAAACAGAACTTCATTGTTGCATAAGAAATACATATAAGCATTTTCTGTGTGCTAAAACTGTATGTACCTAGTTACAATGTACCTAAGTAAAATTTCAGATTCTTCTAGCAATGGCAAAATAGGGTTGTTTAGTTTACCGATTCAAATAAATCAAATGTCAATTTTTAATATCATACGTAAAAGACGTCATAGTTTTACATGACATGATTAAATATCGAGGTAAAAAAACACAGAAATGGGATCAATTTGGATCAGTCATTATACAAATAGGGCCTAACGATACCAAGCGATTTTGACAGAATCGTCTATGAAAACAAGTTGTAACTCGGAAACTAGGCAAAGCAGGAGACAAAATTATATGACAGTAGATTGTGAGAACATATAGCTTTCATTTTCCACAACAGTTGTCACGATTTCAGGTTTATACAAACCTATAAACAAGATAATTTACCCCCTGAAATGTAGATGAATTCTGCATCAACCCTCATATCTATTCCTCATATGACGTCACAGAGACGCGCCGCTCTGATTGGTTGAAATTTCGTTCGCGGGTGAGAATTGTGCACTGTTGTCAAAAAGGTCGATTTAAGTTGATTAAAGATCGAAGTGAGTAGTTTTAATGACGGGGTTTCATTTATAGCGATGCCAGTTAGTGATTTATGTATTTGTACCCCCCTAGAGTATATGTGATCTTTAATGTATTGTATAAGATTGTAAGTACTTGTATTACTAACAGGATTAAGAAGACACTTGATTATCTCATTAACGAAAACCAAACGGGTTTCATCCCAGGAAGATGTATAACAGAAAATATCCGACTCCTCTACGACATCATGTTCGAAACTAAAATATATAAAAAAAAAGGTCTATTAATCCTGATTGATTTTGAAAAAGCCTTTGACACCGTCTCCAAGAATTTTATTACGATGGTACTGGATAAGTTCGGGTTTGGGTGTAACATACAGAAATGGGTAAATATATTGATATCAAATGCTTCTTCATGTATTACTTGCTCTTTTTCCCCCAGTGGAACTTGAAACAGAGTGACATGCCACCCATTATATCATTTCATTACAAAACTGTGTCTACAGATTGTTTCATACAAAGTGTATCCAAGTGAAGTGAATATAAAAAAAAATAATTAAAAAAAAAAATGTAAAAATTTAACCCAATATGTAAAATCCACTTTTAGGTTTGAATGCTAGGGGTGGCATCAGTTTTGTACATATGTATTAGGGGGTGTCATTCACATTGCACATGCTTCTCCACAAAATCAAAACTATCTGGCGTACGCTTTGATGTGGATCATCTTGTATTTAGAAGCTTTGGGGGGTTGAAGGGGGTCTGGCGTCTTCTACATTCAGTCGTTGAACTCATTATCTGCATATATCATTTGAGGTTTTAATTACAAGTTGTGTGATTAGATTTGCTTGTTGTTTTTATTTTATTTTTTTAATCTGTTTTGAGGGGGAGCATTTATTTCTGCAGTAAAACGGTGGTTGGTTTATAATCGAGCCTGCACTATGACATTATGATGGGTTGGTTGAATAGTTGATTGGTTGGATGGTTTTATGTTTAGTATATATATTCCTCTATATGGCGGCGATCTTTATATAGCCGAGTCTGAACCAGACGATCCAGTGATCAACAGCATGAGCATCAATCTACGCAATTGGGATACAATGACATGTGAAATAAAGGACAAAGCAATGGCCATAACAAGCCCCAGTCACTTAAATGCTCTTTCGCATTATAACCTGCGTAATAAATTTGGAGGCCAAATGAGTCCTGCATTTCAAATGTTGGTCATTTGGCCTTAAATGATACGCCTAGTGGTTAAAGCGTTCGCTGGTCACGCTGAAGACCCGGGTTCGATTCCCCACATGGGTACAATGGGTGAAGCCCATTTCGGGTGTCCCTCGCCGTGATATTGCCGTAATATTGCTAAAAGCGGTGTAAAACTAAACTCACTCA